AGAAACACATTAAAAATCAACCTTCACATTGATTTTCCAAGACTCTGAAACTCAATTGAAGGGTCTGGAACGCCATTCCTCCAAAAGATATTCCCTCACTTGGTGTTTTGATGTTGGTGTTGATCCAAGATCTCCCATAGGTGTTCAATTTGGTTGAGATCTATTAACTGTGAAAGCCGTAGCAGATGATTCACATCATTTTTCATAATAATCAAATCATCCACTGACCCCATGCGCCCTATAAAAACGAACCATGTCATGCTGGAAGAGACCACTCCCAGCGGGATCGAAATGTGTCATCATAGGATAAAAATGATCCAATCGAGTTTGTTCTGCAGAAAAACCTTTCCTCTGAGGGGACAACTACACCGAGTGAGCAAAATGACCATCACAAAAACATCAGATCCCCTCTCTGCATTTTCTAGGGTGAACATTAAACCTTTTCCTTTAATTCATCTCTGCATCGCAGCATCGCAGCACATCCCACAGCTATTTACAATTTAAACTCAAGCCAGGAAGAGAAAAATGAACTCTATCACCGAGACGCCCAAAACGTGGCTTTTAGCCACCATTGTTTGAAGGTTAAATGTCAGTGCGGCTATTTTTTTCTCTAAAGTTGGGCAGCAGCTGTCTTTCTTTAATACCGACTTCACCATTTAACCTCAAATTCCTTCCATCCGACTTGATCCTTCAACGCAGAGGCATGTTCAACGCATGAACATCAAAACCCTGTACACTTCCAAGAAAGTGCAATCATTCAAAGTGTTCTCATCAATTATTTGCTCCCAAGGAGAAAATATGTCCAAAAATAGGCAATAAGGTTCAACACCTTCAGTGAAAAATATAAGGTACCAGGCAATTATCTTTTCAGATCGTTTTTCACCTGGTGTAGTTCTAAAAAGCCCGTTTTTCACTCCTCAACTCCAACAGAAATGAGAGGGATTTATGGTCCATGACAATATGTAGAGACATTTTGAACTAAAACAGAGAACGCTGAGAAAGTCTGCAAATTTATACAACCTGACACATATCTTCAGGTGGTCGGAGTCTTTGAAGTAAACTCTAGGTTATGATTTTCTCCTGAGCATAACCTTTTTTAACTCAAATCAGAAGGCTGTTGTTCATTGATGCAAAACATATCTGTTGCTCAGGCTGCAAGCAGCGATCATGGGCCCTTGCACCTCGTTGCATGTCGGGGCACGCTGCAGTCAATGGGCTTTATTTCAGGCATGTATTCAGGTCTGGACTCTTACAGGATGTTACAAAAGAGCTACAAATCTCTTAGAAAACACCTAGTTAAAATTGCGCTTCATGTTGCTGCATATCATGTATAAAACACAAGAATTAATTTTGTCCTGTCCACCAAAGGCTGTCTTTCTTGTTTGCAGAATACTCACGCTGCCAGAGCTTTAATCAAACATGAGAATACTGGGATAGACTGAGGGATACTTCCAATTTCAGGGAAAATTCCCCTACAGACCAAACACGGCGTTCAAAAAGTCGAAAGGTTTGCAATTTAGATTATGGTGAGACTGAACATATTTGATGTTGACGCGGTTGATTCTCCGGGATTTCTCCAGGAATCTGTTGGAACACAAAGTCTATAAACAGCTGGGATGTTGCCACAGTTGCACAACAAAATCAGAATAGCAGTTTTTGCAGAATTTTGCATATTGAGCTCATGCAGGGCAGAACTCTTTTAAAACACAAGATGTTTTTGAAGTTTTTGAGAAAGTCTCTTCTTCTTCTTTCACATTGGCTCTGGTTTCAGTCTTACGTTACTGGCAGTACACAATATGTCACCTAAAAATGCTTATGTTCCTCTGTTTCAGTCGACCAAGGAGTTCTTCAAGGATCTATTAGGATCTCTTCCTTTCATCACTTTCAGTTTCCACTGCTATGCTGATGACATACAGTTGCCAGTACTCCCATTTGTTCCTTACCAGCTGCTTGGGAGAAACCAAAAACAGGATCTCAAACAGTTTTCTAAAACTGATCAACAATAAAACTGAACTCCTGGTTTATGGCTCTCAAATCTCTGCTTCAAAAAGCTGCCCATCTGTACTTTAACATTGATGGATGATATATTTCACCATCTCCAGAGGTCCGCAACCTGGGTGTCATATCCTGGAGTCCACCCAATTATTCTCATCCCATATTAAATCCATCTGTAACTCTGCCTTCTACCAACTAAAGAACATCTCCAGACTCCAGCCTCAGGCTCTGCAGCTGAAAACTTTGTTCCTGCTTGTTTGGCCTCCCTATCAAACCCTGCATATAAAACATGTTTCTCATATAAAATCATTCTCCTCACCTATAAATCCTTACATGCATGTGCTCCACAGTATTTATCTGACCTTCTCCTCCCTTACCCCCCATTTTAAATTCTGTATTTCACAGATAACGGCTTACTCTCCATCTCTCACACCAGACTGCAGTCCTTTGGGGACAGAGCCTTTACTGCTGCTGCTTCCATTCTCTGAACACAGCCTAGTCTGTGAGATCTGCATTGTGGATCTTGGAGACTAGGCTGTGTTCAGAGTGTGGACATTTTTCTGGACATTTTTAAAAACAATTAAAATGCCACCTATTTACTGAGGCCTTTGAGTATGTGCTATGTACATATGAGTTATTAAGCTTTTAGGGTGGTTGATGTTTCATGGTAGAAACATATAAAATCACAAATTACATGCCCTTCAATAAAAACTCAAAGGTTTGAAACAAAAGCGTCACAAACATCCTATAAGAATAAACTGACCAAATATGGTAATGTGATACATTTTCTGTGAGGAGCCTGTAAATAGTAAAAATGGCACCATAATCACACAGTAAATTTAAAATGACTGACATCATGTTATGTTTATGTTGCGGTCCCTTAACCTCCTTGGCTTCTGCTCCAGCTTCTATCTACATTTTTGCTCTGCTCCTGGCTTCGTGGATTTTGACCCTCTGTTCCCTGTGCACAGGTTCCTGGATTTCCTCCACCATCGTGGTGGGTGTGACCTTGAGCGTGAGAGTGAGAAAACTGCACATAGTGGATATTTGGACCCCTTTCCATTGGACCCTCCTCCCTGGAGCACCATTCCCTGTTTGCACATTTGCAACAGCTTCTTCACTGTAAATAAATGCACTGAACTGAGCTCTCCCGAGTGTGCACCTGACTCAACCAGTCCATTAGTCTTGACAGTTCAAGGTGATGATACAAGAGTTTTTCATATGTGTGGCTACAGAATTTCATACATGAAACTTGAAACATGAAACAGGAATAATAAATACAGGGTAGAATGGACAGTGTCGGCATTAAAATCTGCACCACGGAGCCTTTGGTCAATAAAAAGTCAAAAGCTTCCCAACCTGCTTTAAACTTTTCCTACATGATGACCTGATCAACCTTCTGCACCGGATTTTTCTTTGTTTGTTTTTACGTATAAGGCCTGTAAATGTCAGCAATTACACAGTAAATTCAGTTTTCTGTTGGATTATGTCTGCAAGAAGTTGTTTTGTTCATCTTGGGATATTATATGCAGCCAAAGAATTTCATGCACGCTGATCCCTTCAGATGAAACTCCTAAGCATGCGCTTTGAAGTTAAAACTTCGGTATCGTTTTCATGAAACTCTTTGAAATTTGCTACAGCACCCTGGATCCTGTAGCAAAAGTTTAAACTTTTAGAATATTAAAGATAAAAATGACAAAATATTATCTAAATCTGACCATTTTCCAAGAAGAAGTTCATTGAAGGACGAAGCTTAAAGTGCCAAAAATGATGCAAAAATGTGACACTTGGATCAAGTATCGATCCAAAACTCAAAGACCTGAATCTCAAAAAAATCTCAAAATGTCTTAAAATCTTAACAAATGACAAAATGACAAATGGACAATTTAATCATTTTACTCCGGTGTTGTTCGGTGTTGACAGCATTAACATAGCACGGAGGAAGCTAACTACAAAGGACCAGCAGTTTGGAGGCTGTAAAGAGTTTTGACCTCAACACAAACTGTGGTCAAACACACTGAAATGACTGAAAACCTCCTACAATTTTCCCCCTGTTGGCTTCTTTGTCTCTCTTGCTCTCACTCGTTCAGTGTAATTCTTGTTGGAAGAGATATTACATTACATTGTTGTTGTCAACTCAATTAATATGATTTCACCGCACCTCTTGCCAAGTGTGATGCTTGTGCGTGTCTGAGCAGTAAAAGGAGGTGCTACAGAGAAACCAGTTCAAGTGTAAAATGACAGCAGCAAGTAGTAAAGACTCACAATGAGTTGAAATGACACAACAGGCGAATAACAAATGTGCTTATTTTAGTTTCTATTTGTTATTGTACTAATTAATACACTTTATTCATTCATACACTTAGATACCATTTGTTATGTAAGGCATGCCTGCTGAATTAATGCTCTTCCTCTTCCTTATGGAAAGGAACACAGCTTATCTTAACTTGACACCAGGCAGCAGGAAAAACTTGAAACTAGAAAAAGTTAATCCCCAAATCAAAATAGTTAAGTGGGCGATACACACATATGACCCCTTACATCTGAACTTCTGCTCTTTAAAAAAAAGATACAATTCATTTAGGATACTAATGATAAACACAGCTGTTCCATTGTTGCCCTGGACGACAAATTCATAAAGATTTAATAAAAGTGGTGAAATCATTCGTTTAGATTAGCCTCCACAAACTCTCTACGCAAGTCCTGTGCATTCCAAAATCCAACTGCTGAGCTATTCTGAGCATGTTTCAGAACATGATCTCCGGTCATGTCAAAGGCATTTTTCTCACAGTAAAACTCGGAGCAGAGATCTATACCAACGATATGAGACTTCATAATAAACTAGAAGGCTATCTGTGTTTTTTCAGCGCAGAAATGAAACAATAATCCCTGCAGCACAAATCTCAAAGAGGGAAAAGCTCTTGTTCTTCAGGCCCGGCCCCGCCTCCTCCTCCTCCTCCTGCTTGCAGGGGACAGAGAGGGTAGAAGTTAAGCAGTCAGCTCTCTGCCATTGTTCTTGTTCTGGACGTCTGCGAACGGGACGGGTGGCGCTGGTCGGGTACCGGACGGCAGTCTGTCGTTATGACGGGCTCCGGTCCGAAGCTCGGGGTCCTGCTGCTGGTGGCGGTTCTGCTGCAGACTGTGGTCGTCACCATCACCGTGCTGCACTTCACAACGGCTCTCAACTCGGTAAGGAAGAATTTAAAGTTCGGACAGAGGAGTCAGGGACGCGCGGAGGCTTTTACGCATGGCCGTGCTTTGCGCACAGCGAGGCGGGGGCAAAGTTGATGCAGCCGCGTTTTACTTCATTTTGCTGATGACTTAATTAGAGTTTTAATGCGCAGTTGAGCGGTGACAAGTTCTGGAGCAAACCACTTTAACTAGTTTTGCGCTCTGGTGTTGCTGCTGCGCTCCAAAGAACATATAGCCCACTTTTCATCTATTTTTCTTTTTTTCTTTTTCTTTTACACATTGTAATGCAGGTCACTTATGCTGCTCTGGAGTTGGGTTTGCACAATGTAATGTCACGCAAACATACACACCTTGTTTTTCTCTGCAGCTGCAAACGTAGAACAGAGAACAAGGAAGTTCAAAAGAAAAGCAGCAGGAGAGGTGGCCTGCAGATAATTTTACGATCATCTGTGACTGTCAGGAAGAGTTTGTACAGACCTATGCGCCTGAATTTTTGTGAGTGTGATTGTGCTGCCCTGACTGTACTTTTGGTGAAGTACATCTGAGAGTCCTCTGCTCAGATGGATTCAGTCCAGTACAACTCTCAACCTTTGTTTACAGTAATCAATCATTAACCCAGAGATGAGATGCAGCAGCGATATGTGGAAAATGAAACTTAAACACATGACAAGGAAGGAAAGGGATGCATGCCAGGAAATTATGATGACTCAGGTTCTAAAGCCAACTCTTTAGACAGTAATTGTTTTAGTGTGGACAATGGGCATTTTTCTACAAAAAAGAGCAAGAAAAATTGGTGCAATAAAGTTAACATCAGCATGTAAAATTATGTTTTTAAAGCGAACAGACCTTGAAAACAACTTTTGGTTTTGCAAACAAAATGAAACCACAGAGACCGTCAGGTGTGTCAGGAATGTTTGATGGGAAAATAAAGAGACATTGCTCCACTTGTTCCATGCTATTCTTTATACCTTCACTATTCGCAGATAAAGGAGACTTTTGCCAGGAGCAGTGTCTCCTGTCTGACGGGCACTGACCTGCAGAGCATCACGGATGTGCGAGGGGATCTATGCTGGCAGGTCACTCAGCAGGTTCACCTCCTCATCGAGAAGGTACGGTATCACGAGGAATTATTGCTTACTTTTACCCCCCAGAACTTAACTGACCTATAAAATCCACAAACTGTATGTAAACAATGAATGCAGCCACTGTGGCATTACTGTGAAATTAAATTAAAACTGTGAAAGAAATCAGGGTGCTTATTTTAAAGTTACAGTCTAAGTTAATAGGGAGAAAGCGTCTTAACTTTAAGCTGTCAGTGGGATGTAAAAACATGTAGAGAATAAGCAGCAAATCTGATTAAACCCTCTTACAATGTTTGGCTACTTTGCCCCAAAATGAGGTTTAACACTAAAACCTCTTAGGGGATCATTTTGACCTCATCCTGCAGGAATACCAGTGATGGCAAATAAGCATTTCTTAACTTCATTTTCATTGAAATGTTCAAATTTTGTTACAGATTTGACAAAACAGTAATTAAGATGAAGTATTGAGGGTTTTGCTTGTTATACAAATAACTAACTTCACTAATAAACAAGCAACACAACAGCTAACACATCTAAATCATTTCATTATTGTAGAAGAAGAACATCACTGAAACGTCTAAGAGAAATGGTGTTAGTTATGCTAAAATAAACAGGGTATAAACACAGCATATCTGTAACCAGAAGGTCGCCAGTTCGATCCCTGCCGGTCCTGGTCGTTGTGTCCTTGGGCAAGACACCTTACCCTACTGCCTGCTGGTGTTGGCCAGAGGGGCCAATGGCGCGATATGGCAGCCTCGCTTCTGTCAGTCTGCCCCAGGGCAGCTGTGGCTACAACCATAGCTGCCTCCACCAGTGTGTGAATGTGAGAGTGAATGAATAATGGCATTGTAAAGCGCTTTGGGTGCCTTGAAAAGCGCTATATAAATCCAATCCATTATTGTAGACGTTTGACACACACTCCAGAGCCCCACACTGACTACACGATGAGTAAACCAGTATTAGGAAAAGTCATGAAATGTTATCATTCGTTAATTATAACGATAATGATCATTCACAAACAGCAACTCAACATATGCTGAATACGCGCCATGTTTATGCACACTATGGATACAGGAAGCCAAGAAAAAGTAAGAAGACACTTAAATACATCTTTATATTTAACCAATAGAGAGCTGTGTCTGCTACCACACAGCAGAAACCGCCTCTCCTATTCACTTGCACAGCAACTTGATTGGCTTTTAACTTGCTGCTCTGAATATAATGCCTCTGACGTCACCTGCTTCTTTCTAAAACCCTCTTCTGAAGCCTCAGTGATAGCATTTTGGCTGACGCCATGCTGTTGTTGTTGTTGCTGCATCCATAGACTGTTTATTGTAACCTACAGACACATATATCAGATAATTAGTACTTAGAAACAGTGATAAAATACCAAAGAAGAGACAAAGACTTCCTGGAAAAGCTGTTGGTATCCAGAATCCACATATTAGCAGAGAGCTACAGGCTACCTGTCACTCATCAGACGCACACCCCTAAATTTAAGCCTTAATAAACTTCAAATAATTCAGGTCTCATACAGCTACTATGAAGGGTTCAATGAGTCACTAGAATAAAAACAGTTTTCAGTAAACCTGTTTAAATCTGCTGTGAAGTTACTGGGGGGACTGACTCACTTTAGGAGCCTCAAGTGGTCATTAGAGGATCTGCAGCTTCTGGCAGCTCAGAGTTGCTTTCATGTTTCAGCTGCAGAGTTTTTCTGCTTCGTAAAATCTGCAAATGAGCTGTGCATATCGGTTTCAGCTGATCTCTATTAATGACTCGAATGATTTGGCCAGCTGCTGAGATTTCAAAACTTAATTTCTTCTCCTTCACTGCACTGCATAAGAAACTCCCCACCCACAGGGCTTTGGAGACATTGCTAACCTCCTACGCTCCTCCCAGCTCCAAAGTCTGAAAAATGCTTAGAAAGCAAATGCTGAAGAAGGTTTATTGTTATTTTTTATTCCGCTGTCCCTTATTTAATTGAACTCCGCACAGCTGGAGTTCAATTAAATTTCAAGCAAAGCAAATTCCAAGTAAAGTTTTACTCTTGGTGATAAACACAAGAGGGGCGCCACGGGAGAGCAGGAGTACGACTAAAAACACAAGGTTTCTGTTTAACAGGGCTCCATTGTTATCCTAAAACTATTAATTTATTGTTTTCCATGGGATTCATCGGCAGAAAGAAAAATGTAGAATAAAGGCAGCTTTATCTCTTAAACTCAAAGAGGGGTCATTATTATTATCATTATTAGGGGCTTCCTGTGGATATTCGCTGAAGAAAGAAAAACTGAAATGATCCAAATCACTGCCTGCGGATGCACAATGAACTCCTTCATAGCTGGAGATGTGATGTGATCCTGTGTGGTTTAATCAGCACAGGAATGCATTCACCTGCCCTGCACTGACACACACACACACACACACACACACACACAC